TAATTCCTGCATTTTGGAATTGGTTTTATGTTTACTTTATCTTTAACATTCCACAAAATACCAAAATTATTTGCAGCCCCATTCTTAAGATTAGCTAGTTTCAATACTTTCCTACCTACCACCAAAATTCTTTAATATTGCTGAAGGAGAATGATTGAGTATTCTGCTAGGAAAATGTTTCTCTAACAGGTGATACTAACAGACTACCAAACGCTGAACATAAAAGCACTTCCACCAATGCAAAATGCATCCTAAATAAAAATTGCATAGTTATTACTTTTCACAGTAGCAATCAATTGTTTAGTATCTATTACACAATGTCTGAAATTAATTTGCAGCTGGAAAAAATGCTTATCAAGAATCAAAGGAGTTGGTATTAATTGTTTGAAGTCCATGGATGCATGTATAACCCAGGATAAGGACAAATCTTGCCTCTAAATGTACCTAACATGCACACTCCTAGTTTGTCAATGTTATCTCAAAATGTTTCATATTGTATAAACTTGAAATGCTTCTTAATATTTAATTAATTTTAAATACCTTAAAATGGAAATAAGTTTATCTTGTGCACCTTACTGGTTTGTGTTCATTTGTCACCTATTTATACCTGATCATGGATTCTTCTTGTGAAGTGCATTGATTAACTGAACATAATCATCAGCTCCACTAACACCATTCACACATGTTGTCAACTGCATCACAACGCCATAGACTAGACACTTGTGCCACTAAGGACACGTCAACTTGCAACTGCGTGGAAATGAAATGAAAAGAAAAAGGTTCAGGTATTGGGTGCAGAGCTGGAGATGTATATTTAACTTGATTACAAAGTGTCCATCAATGAAACAGCAGTTCTAGCTTTATCAATAACAGAAATTCATTTTGCTTATGTTGCCATTTCATGGTGAGCAGCAGTAATAAAAGCATGATGTCAGTAATAAATAGCATTAGCTGATTAAAAGGCTATTGTAAGTAATGTCTGCTTTCCACAAATAATGATGATTTGCCGTTTTAGGGAATTCAGTATTATGAATAATAATCTCTTTTTCTCTCTACTTAATATCAGTATTTAATAAAAAGTCACATTTGAGCCACTCATATTAATTACATTAAAGGCAAAATATCCTCAAACTTGGACTCTTAAGTCGCCAAGTCTCATTAAAAGCATTAGTTGTAAGATTCCAAGGAAATGGGTGTTTTATGGATAAGAGCCAGTTTCCCTTAGAAAGTTCTCAACAAAGGCTCCTTTTCCTTTAGCAGATAGTCTTGGCATGCTTTGTTGTAATCAAATAAATCAAATCAAATCAAATCATCTTCAAATTCAGATCCTAACTAGACAGTAATTTTGGTTTCAATAAATTAAACCAAACCATCTTCAAATTCAGATCCTTACTTGATAGTGATTTTGGTTTCAGTTATCAAAGAAAAGAAAAATGTACACTTTGATCATAGGGCTTATTTTCCCTGTGCTTCTTCGATCTGAATAAATGTCAAAGACAGTAACATGAAGAAGCTACAGATTCTTCAAAACAAATGTTTTCCTCTGTTTGCTGGGCTGTCTTTTTAAAAATAAAAACCTCTTTAAGGATTTTGAAATTCATTATGTCTGAGATTTCTCAACAATGTCTATATAAGTTACTTCAAGTGAACTACAAACTATAGTATAGCAAATTGATCACAGCAACTGAAGAATGAAATCATAGCATAAGTGTGTGTCTGTATGATTGTAGTCTGCTCCTCAGAAACTTAGATCTTGTTATTTGAACATGCCATAATTATAATCTTAGATCTTTTACATAGCTTCCACACCAGTTTCTTTCCTGTTTCATTTTAAACTTGGTTATTGTGTTTAGTTTTTCATCTGCATATGTATTCCTTGGGTAAGATATGCTGTATATTTGTCTACACAGACTTTTTAGCACAAATTTGCTCTTTTCTGCATTCACTCAGATTTGAAACTTTGAATCATTGTCTTGTAGTAGTATCAAAATTTTTGGTTTTATTTCCTGCTTCAATGTCAGAATTACATGGCTAGTTTGACAGCCAACTGAATTTTCTATTTTTCTCCTGTCCTGGTTTTTTTTTATATTAATGCACTCTTCAGAGCATTCCTAAGATAAAGCTTTTTTTAAAAAAAAAATCCTGGCTTTTGTTTCCAGTACTTTGCTGATGTAAACAATGTGTGCCCATAAAGTTACTAGAAAATTTCTTATAAATAAGGAGAATATTACTAACCTTCAAATAAATTTATTTGCTTCAAAATAATCGCCAGAGAGTATATAATTTTTTTCAACATTTCTTCAGGTCATCAGAACATTGTTTATAGGCACTGAACTAAATGTTTGTGGAATACATGCAATATTTCATTTAATATGCCAGGCATTTTCAAATCTCTGTCCTTTTACCTGAAGCTTCGGCGCGAAAAAATCGGCTGGGGATTTTTTGGGAGAATGTGGTGGATGATATATCATTGCAGTTGAATGCTTAGCAAGATACTGCTGTACAGACAATGCTGTATGGGCGGCCTAGCATTATCGTGTAAAAGAAACCATTGCCAGAAATCGAAAAATTCCTAACTCACCTTATCCTGTTTCTTAATCAAAAAAGGCATCTTCTTGTAAAAAGGCTAAGTTATTGTTTTATGTTCAAGGACAAATTATTGGTGAATATGTCCTTTATAATCTAAAAATGCAATCAGCATCATATTAGTCTTTGATTCCGACATTCGTGCTTTTTTTTCGGGGGGAATGGGGAAAACCATCCTTTCCACTATGCACTTTGTCTTCTTGTTTCTGGGTCGTATTGTAGACATCAGCTATCATATGTCTTAAGAAATTATTATCCTGTCTCGTAGCAGTCAGCTAATCTTTTCTGTCTTCTTGCTATTCTGTTAAAATACGTGGCTCAAAGCAAGCACAAACTTTCCTCATTTTCAATTAAAATTAACCTACAGCTTTCTTTGCTTATCCCAAGCATAACTGAAAATTGCTAAGTTGTTACATGTCTATCAGTTTTTATCAAAGAATGAATTTTCACCACGTTTTCCTTATTCTTCGAAGTTGAAAGTTTACTGCTTGCCTGCTAATAGTCCTAGTAAGCCTAACATCATTGAAACAACAGCTTCCACATCGCTGGTGACAATTAATTTAGCCCTTAAGTAGATCTGTTTTTTGTTCGTCTTCAATATTCTGTGGATATGATGAACTAAAAACCTGTTTCTTTACTGCCACGTTAGTTAGAATTCAACCCGTTAAATGATAAGTGTGTTAACTAAATTGTTATATATTGGATGTGGTTCCAGAGTTTCCTACTTAGGCGCATTTTTTCAGTGTCTGCTGAGCTGACTTCAATACGGCAGCAATAGAGTTAATTTTCCATACAAAGATTTGCTATCGATTTTGTTTGCGCCTTGCTATATCTCTGCTATTGTTTAACGTTGCCAAATAAGTTTGCTATCTTCTTCAAGTGTGGAAACGCTTTCAGAAAGGGATACGTACTTCAGTGAAATTAGGCTTGGCGTGCTGAAAGTCATAAGGATTCAGAAGTTTCTGAAGACAACACAACAATGTCAATACCAATAATGCGTTTATGAATCTAAAGTCAAAGAAGGAAACTGTACAGAAAGCTATGTGTTGTAGATTACAAGAATATGGTAGGCATGGATAGGAATAATTTCCAATTTCAGAGTTAGCTAATGGTCAGAAGTAGACTGAGAAAGTATCAAACGCTTTTCTGTCATATACTCGGCCCACCAGCGGCCGAGCGGTGAAGTCGCTGAACACTGGTAGTTCGGTCCGAGGTTCGAATCCTGCGAACGGGCTGGCTGCATGGGTGTTTTCGTGGTTTTCCCCATGTGTAACATGTATACGAGCCAATTTCCCTAGAAAGTCCTTCACGAAGGCATCCCTCCCCTTAGGCAGATAGCCCTCGTGTGCTTTGCCATAATTAAATACACTACCACTGTCATATACTCAGTGTTGTAGGTAGAACTTTCACCTCCTTTCTTGATATACAAATAAATAGCTTAAAAAATATCAAAACGGCATGTAGGGAAATAAAACTCTGCGTTTATTTCTGAAGAAAGATTTTAATTCCAACATTTTAAAATAACATTATTATTTTGCCTGTTTTATTGTTTGGAAAATCATCGATGACCATGTAAAGATCAATTTGATTGCTTTGGCTGTTACGTAGATGGTAGAAAAGGATTTCTTAGATACAAAATATACATTTATAGTTCTTAAATACTTCTTGAATGATTTGCTCTAGAAAACGAGTACTGGAGTACTAGTATTACAATATTCGAACTAACAATTTCCAAATATTGTATAGTTCGCACTAGTATTGCAATGTTTGAAACTTTGTTCTGGAGATTGTATTTTAGGATAAACCGCAAATATTCAAAAGGACTGTCCTGTCACGTTCCTGTTTCAGTTTCCCTAGCAACAACGGAAATAAAACTCTGAAATACTTCTGTTTTAACGAAGAATTCTTCCTTATAAATGCCACCGTGATCGTTTTTCAGCACTTCAAAATTTGGAAGTGAAAGAAATCAATTGCTACGATTTTGAAAATTTGTACACTTCTCTTCCATTAATTGAAATTTACTACAGTCTTTTAGTTCTTCCTAAATTTTTCCTGAGATCCTTACACTTATTTCGGAAGTTTATTGGAAAACCCACTATAATTGTGCATTTTTAAATCACTACATCTACTTTAGAGAATCTATTTTTCAACAAATCAACGGAATTTCTATGGGGAACCTATTCCACGTATTTATGCAACATGTACTTATTCACAAAAGAAAATTACTACTCTTAATCAAGTTGATAAAAATTACTTTACTACTATTTTTAGATATATTCACGATATTATTGCAATAAATAATTTTGAGAAAATAAGAACAGAGTATTTACTTTTCTAGTTTAAATAAAACTAATACTACACATAAAGAAATTAACTAGTTAGATTTACATATTTTTAATTGTAAAAATATTAAACTTTGCGACAAAAGAAGAGACTTCAATTTTAACACAATAATACACTTTTAAAGAACACTATTCACAATCAGCTTCATAGAATTAAAAAAATTTACTGAAGTTAATTATCTATAAGAAATCAAACTTTTCATTAATTAATTAGAGAATAAAACTTCAAAATATTGCATTAACCTTACTCTGAAAAAAAAAAAAAAAGCATCAGCTACTACACTGAAGAGCCAAAACATTATGACCACCGACTCAATAACGCGTTGCGTGACCCTTGGCCTGCAGAACAGCTGCAACTCATCTTGGCATGCCACGGGCTCTTGGTAGGTGACTGGGGACAGGTTGTTCCAAATGTTTAAGCAGCTGTCACGCAAAGTCAAGATATTCTGACATGGTAGTGCTTGAGCTCTGAGCTACCTCTTCATGTCATTCTAAGTGTACTCTGTCGGGTTTATATCCGGCGAGTTAGGTAGCCAGAACATTAATTGGAATTCATTCTTATGCTCCTCGAACCTGTCCAACACAATTCGAGCCTTGCGACACTGGGCGTTGTCATGCTGTAAGATTCCACTTCTAGTTAGGCAGACAGACGTCATATAAGGAGGCAAATGATCCGCAATTATGTTCAGATAGTCTGTAGCTTTTATGGTCTGTTCTACCACAACTAAGGGTCCCAAAGCCGCCAAACGTCCCCCAAAGCATAATACCGCCCCCACCAGCCTGTATATGACCTGCTGCACATACGCGGAGCAACTGTTCTCCTGGAAGTTGGCGTACCCTGACAAGACTATCGATATAATGAATGAGAATTCGTGATTGATCCGACCAGGCAATTGTCTTCCACTTCTCCATGGTCCATTCTCGATGTTCCCGGGCCCACTATAGGCGTAGTTGACAATGGCGCTTAGTCAACAGAGGCACACGTCTGCTGCGCAGTCCCATATCCAACAATGTGCGCTAAACTCTGTGTTCCAAAACACTTGCACCTGGACCTGCACTGTATTGGGCTGTCAGCTGAGCAGTTTAGTGTCTTGCGCCGATTTTGCTGTACGAAGCAGGACAGTCTGCGACGTTCATTTTCTTTAATGACGCGTGGATGTCCAACATCTTGGCGTCTACGGCTGTTTTTACTATCATTTATTCACTTTGCGTAAATACCAACAACGGCAGATCGTAAATTATCTACCAGTTCTGCAGTTTCGAAGACACCCCTTCCGAGTCTTTGGGCCATTACAATCTGCCATTTATCGAATTCACTTTGATCAGCAGCCTTTCCCATCACTCGAAAAGTAAGAGCAAGGATGATTCCTTACCTTCTCCAGCAGCAGTTAAATACCATTTCCACTTGATCATGTGCTATTCACATCATCCAGACCAGTTTCATTGAAAAATGTGGGGATGGTCATAATGTCTTGGCTCAATGGTAACTAAAACTAGAGACTTTTTTTACATGTGAATAATTTTCTTTTCATGTACAGATTCTGTATAATATTTCTAGTTCTTTCCTTTTGTTAACTACTAGTTTGATTTAGTTTCAAAAATCCATAATAGCTATGCTGGGATAAGACTTTAAACTTATTATCTTCGTTTTTTATAACTTTGGCCTGAATTTAAATTCAAATTTACATTTTAGAGTTAAATATACTATATTTGCTATTTAATATATAATATTTGCTATTTAATATATGCTTGCTACTAAATATGCTTTGTTATTTAACGCTCATTGTGGTCTCTTTCCCTTGCTCCTTGCTTCTGCTCTCTTTTACTTCTTCTTTTTTGGCAAACCTAATTTTCGCTATTTGCACAAAGAACTTGTTTCTGAGAATTCTTCCGTCTTCTATTTTGCTGCCAAATTTTTCTCCTACGACAAATTTTCGACAACCTTGGCATGGTTTCTTATTTGAAGGACATTCACTAGTTTATCTATTTCTGCATTTGAATGATTTTCACAAGAAACGGCAACCTTACTCTTTCGTTTCCACGCTCACCGTTTGAATGCTAAAATAACTGAACCATTTTTTCTAAAGGTTGAAGCACATTTGTTTCATTCAGAAATGTTAGTAAGTTTTTTCTTTTATTTTATTTTAATTTAGGGCCAATGTTTCCAACCGTTTTATTTTTTTAGAGTATCGTTTTCAGTGGAGTTGAAAATTTTTTGATAGTTTTCGAGTAAAAAAAAAATTTTTTTAGGTCTCTTAGTCAAAATGGCAAAATTTGTTAACCGTAATTGTTCAGGTTTTGTTTTAAATTACGCGTCAGATTGAACCATCAAAATATGAATAATTAATCTACATCGTCATAGCTTTAAGTTTTTAAAATATTTCTAAAAATTTTCGATATATTTTGCCTTTCATTTTACGTCTTACTTCGTTCTAAAATTTAATGGTTTCTTTATGTTTTCTTTCTAAATTGAATTTAAACAAATTGTCCAGGAACGTGTCATCTTTTTTCTCATAATTTTTTAATTTTAATATATATATATATATAAATATACTTTACAGTAGATTATTTAATATTATATATGTATATATGTGTGTGTATGTGTGTGTGATGTGTTTTTTGAGGGAAAAGTGAAATCCAAATCGCGCTTGAGTCTTGGTCGAGAAGACTGTTTCTTAGGGCTGGTGCAAAAATCCCAACTGGCTTGCTTGCTTAAACATCGTTTTTATTTTTTACAGAAACAATTATTTCAGAAATATACATCTGGTTCAAACTGATACAGCATTAGGGGTTTTAAACACGTCCATAATTTCAATATACGCAGCTTCTTCAGAAATGAAGAAGGCGGCGAAACAGCAGGCGTGGGTTACCCAAGCAACAGCAAGCGAGAAAAAGCAATGCAATTCTCTTCGGTCCCTAATTCTGAGCGGTGATTATTAGAAAGTCCTCCGGGAAGGCGTCCCTCCCTTAAGGCAGATAGCCCTCGAGTGCTTTGCCATAATCTAATAAAATAAAAACCTGAGCGGTGATTGGGCTGCAGATGTACAGAGAAACTACAGAGAAACTGCAGGGAAACTGCAGGGAAAGCGTGACATAACATGCGGCAGAGTGACGCCGCAAAACATATCCTTTGAAGTTGGGATGCGTTTAACTAAAATTTACAAATCTAAAGATTTATTGCCAATCAATTGCAATTAAATTTAATAATTTCATTTCATATTTTACAAATATGTACATATGTAATGATGTTGTAGAAAAATTGATAGCGTAGATATTGGAGATGTTGAACGATGATAAACAGCAAACTTGGCAGCCGAGGCAGATTAAATATTTGTTTTTATTTCAATAAACATTTTATGGCCACAAGCAAATTTGTACACTAGTCGCGCCTTTTGAAGTACATTTACATTTTTGTTATTGTTGCGATAGTAAGATAGCAGCGAGGTAGAAGCAACAGCGAGAACAGAGGTAGAAGCAAAGTGCGTAGTTATCCAATATGGCAGTTTATTAAGAGAAAGATTTAGGTTCTCGAAATTTTGTGTTAAGTTCCGAATTAGCTAAGTCATTAACATTATGTAAATGTCATATGATAGGATTAATTTAGAAATGACACAGTCCAGTAAAAGTTGTGATTATGTTAAAAATAGAGAGGGGGAATACCCAAATTAAAACGAAGAATTAAGGGGCTACAACAAAATTAAAATTTATATCTACATATTTTTCCTCTTACATATTCCTCCCCTTCAAAGAGAAAAAGGCTTAGTTACAGGGAAGCATTTTTAGAGGAAAAGCGTCAAAGCAGTGGCAAATCAAGAGAGAGATGATTTTGGAAAATATAAATCATAAAATTTTAACGAACATAATTATTTAAATAATTGCAAAATATAAACTTTGATAATATTTTAGAGTCCTATTAAATTTTCAGTTGAGAAGTTTTCTTGTTTTAGAATCCACATAATCATATTTGTTCAGGAAAGGCTTTTCAAAGTTTTTCACAAATATCACAAATATAAATATTTTAAATACCATTACTTATTGTAATTTATAGCACAACTAATTTAATTAATTAATAGTTAAAAATACTTTTTATCATCATATGTATGGGAGTAAACATTGCTAAAATTATAGTTTAGCTGTTATTATCTTTCATTTGAAATTCCTTATTGTACCAAACTGGAAGGTTCCGTAATACTTTAAAATAAACATTTCTATCAACTGATTATACACACTTTGGCTGACTGGTGAGCTAATCGCACCCGTGGCTATGAGTTACTCATATAGTTACTTAAAAAGGCTTCCGTTCCTTGTACAAGGTAAGTGGCCTATGAGAACTGCCCTAATACATTCAGTAACAAATAAATAAATAAAAATAATGATAATATATAAAAAATTTACACTTAGTCATGAAACGAGAACCTTCAACATTATCGTGTATGAGGAAGAAAAAGGAAACAGTTGTACAGAGGTAATAATATGCCTTCTGTTTTCTGGACCAGTACTCTACTATATTTAACATACATTTATTTATAAATTTTAACATTCTTTACCATAATTCCAAACAATTTTTTTATACATTTTACTTTTAATTACATTACTCACAATCAGTTTTATTCTAATTATTGAGTTAGTAAATCTATTACTATTTTAAAATTAATTATATTCGTTACAACACTATTCAGAGTCTAAATAATTTTTATATCACTCTCTATACACATATTCAAATCACTTCCTTCATTTTTCATATTCCCTTCCTTCTCGAAATAATTAGAAAATTCTGAAAATTCAAATTTTCAAACAGCAATCTTGTTCACAAAATAATTGCAAAATTCTTAATATTAATTGAAAAATTTGAACGATAATTCAAAAATATAGTAATCATGTTAAGATTTAATAACCATCCCAAAATAAAATAATACAAGTCTTTAAATTCGTTACTTAACTTAATTAAAGATAAAAATAAAGATGAAAAATTCAATCTTTTGATACCATGAAATTTTAATCATTTTTCATAAAATAGTGCCAAATTTTTCGAAGTCCAATATAATAAGAAAACAACATTACATATTTAAAGTTTCAGATACTATTAATTGTAAACACTTTCTACGTGACGATACTAAAAACATTTCTAGCTGCACTAATTACTAACTAACTTTATTCATAAAAGAACTTATGCGAAATTTTAAAATCCATAGCACTATTTGAGTTTCGTTCCATTGCGAAATGAACCTAATTCTAAGATAATAATTTTGAGTGTTCGTTTGACGAACTATGCGATTAAGAAAGCGGAAGTGAACACACTTGAAGCACGTAGTATGAACAGACTGACGATTTTGGAATCGCTGTAATGCTGAAGTGATTTGGAACGTTGATACACTGTATCTTTGAAGACACTCATCAAATCACTTTTAATATAAACACTATGATTATTTTTGAAGCACTGCAGAACAATTTTTTTTCACTCCTGGATATTTAATAGATCAAGAGTGATGTTTCATATGAATGCAGAATAAAGTAAAATTAGTAGTTCTCAAAGCAAAGGTTCAATCCTTGTCGTTCACGCAGTATTTGGATTTTGTAGAAAAACTGCATTTTAAGACATTCTACACAGATGAACTTAACTTTCAGGCACTGATTTCCAAGACATACGATACCCTTGTCGACTACTTCTAACGATGTTATAGAAATATTGTCAGCGTAGATGTTGTAGGTGTTGATCCATAGTAAACAGAAAACTTCGTAAGGCAGATTAACTATTCATCTTTATTTCGGTAACCATTTTGCGGCCACAAACAAATTAGCACACTAATAGTGCCTTTTCAAAAACATTTACATTTTTGATAGTGCTGCAATAGCAAGAAAGCAGCAAGGAAGCGTCTTAACGAGAAGAGACGTAGAAGCTAAGTGCATAATTGTCCAATAATGACAGCTTATTAAGAGAAAGGTTTAGGTTCTCGAAATTTTGAGTTAAGTTTCGAATTGGCTACGTTATCATCCGTTATATAAAAGTCATATGATAGGGTTAAGCCAGGAATGACTCTGTCCAGAAAAGTTATTACCATTTTTAAAACAGAGAGGAGAAATATCAAATTAAAATGAGGAATTAAGGGGCTACTGAAAATTAAAATTTATATTTACATATTTTTATCTTACACACACACACATAATATTGATTAATTGATTATATTATCTCCTAAGTTTAATTATAGTAGGATTATCTTAAAAGAGTGAATCCATACTAGTAGTTATATTTTGAAAGATGAAGTAACTTGAAAGTAAAATGTTAAAAATGTTTTAACGGGGACTGGAATTAAATCATGAATAACAAAATTTCAATTGTAAAAGGAATAAATTAAAGGCAAGAATTAAATTAAATGTATGTAATCATTGTCATTGATCGGAAATTAGTTGACTTTCAAGTTACTTCAAAACATCTTTCAAAATATAACTTACTAGTATGAATTCACTCTTTTAAGATAATCCTACTATAATTAAACTTAGGAGATAATATAATCAATTAATCAATATTATTTAGTAAATAAATTATTATTAACTTACTTTGCAGCAATTGCGCAACTTGTTTTCGCACTAAATGAATTTAAGATCATACACACACACACATATACAAGGGGTGATCAAATGAAAAGGTACGAAACGACATAAAAAGTAACAGTTAAATATTTGCATATTCCACCATGGGAGAACGTAGCGAGACATCTCCGGATGCAATTGGAGTCTCTGACTGGGATCGGAGCGTGCGCGAGCGCCCGCATGCGCAGGAGAGAGCACACGCTCGTATCAAAAGCGGTGTCCAAATGATGCGGCAATCCGTATGAGGATAGGATGGCGTGCGCGTTGCAAAATTCGACGACTGAGGAGCATTATCCGATTTTTGACAGCGGAAGGTGAGAAACCGGCAGCTATTCATCGCCGGATGGTGACATTTTATGGGGAGAAATGTGTCTCTGACAAGTCTGTCTGCAAATCGAGTGCCCGTTTTCATGCAGGCCGTGAGAGTGTGAGTGATGACCCGAGACCAGGCCAGTCAAACACTGTCATCACGAGCGATCTCATCGACAAGGTGAACGACCTAGTGAGAAGTGATCGGCGTGTCACATT